TGTTTACTTTTTTTTTTAAAAAGGCTTTCACAAATCCTTGTCCTTTTGATCTTATTTCTAAAACAAGAATCAAATTCTAAGTCATGACTGTTTTCTCTTCTTTAATAAGCTTTACATTGCAACTAAAATTGGGTGCAAAAAACGATTTGTCAGTTTTTCAATATTTAGTCTTTCAGCCCTTGGGATTAAAGCCCACTATTTTGATAGTTCATGAGATAATAAATTTGTGATGATAATGTGTATGAGGGGAAGAGGGGAGTTCTTTTTATTTCAGTTTTAAATTTCATTCATCAAATATCAAATCTAGTTCAGACTTGATGTCAGTATAAACTTTTTTCAATCAACTACTGTCTGAATCCTGTATCTCTGCCAAATTACACTATTGAAAATATTCTTTTATGTTCTGGCTGCTGTTATTAGAAATTTAGGCAAAATTTTATTTGTTCAAAAGCCAAATCATTCTTTTAAAATGCTTTTAATTTGCAAGATACAAAAAACAATTTTCTGTAATGAAATCATTTTTATAAATGTTATTTATGGTTTATTCCAAACTGTATCTAAAAAGATTTCTGTTGAATCTACCCCTTTGGTATTATAATAATACTTTAGATTCAAAATATTTTAGTCATGGCTTTTAGAAACAAGGGGTTTGACAAGATAACTTTCAGAAAATATAATTTTGGTTATGATACAAAGGGGAAAGCAGATAAAATTTCATGAGAGTTTTGAAAATATTAAATTGATATTTTTTGTGAGGAGAAGAGTTATGAAACACTCCAGAATGTTGTCATTGTTGTTATCTCTAGGGTTAAGTGAAGTTTGTAATTAACTTTGTATTTTTTAGGGGTAATTTCAAAAAAAAAAAAAAAAAAAAAAAAAGGGAAAAAAGGTTTTTAAAGTTTGGAGATAGGGAACAAAAAAAGATATGATTTTGAGACATTTTCCAGATTCACCTTTCTTCCACTCGGCATCTCTGTACTAATTATATTTATCACCTTTTGTGCCTTTCAAAAGAGCAACTTGTTTAGATCAAGTCTCTTTTGGTTTCAAATTTTTTTTTTTTTTTGTCCTTGAAATATCTTCAGGTTTTTTTTCAATAGTTTTTCTGCTTGCCTTGCCAAATATTTGCTGTTACAGAATAAAACAATCCCATTACTTGGATCAGAAAACAAATGTTTTCTTGATGCAGCTCTCATTCAAAAATGGACTTCATTTAAAAAAAAAAAAAAAAGTATTACTTATACATTTTGTATGTGAGTTATTATTTATTAGTTAGAATACTTTTGCAAACTTTTCTTTAGTAATTGTATTTTGCTTTCCTCACTTTTTGTTCCTCTGTCCTTTTAAACATCTCTTGTATTTTGGAATATGGAACTTTTCTCAGGGTGGGGGGTGCTTTTCTTGTATAAGTCAAGATCAGTGGAGAGTTTGTAGATAGCAGATGAAATATTTTGCAAAAGGAAGTGCATGCACCCCCTCTTTTAGTGCAAGATTTGACATGTCAAAATAAAATGGACTTCTGGGATAGATGAAAGGCATAGTGACTGAAACATGGAGAGACATGGGGGAGAACAACAAAACTAAAGAAATTAACCAAATTTCAATAATTAAAACAGCTTGTCTAAAAATAAAATAAAAATTGTTCTCTTGCAAGTTTGATTCTTACTTAGTGCTCTATTATTGTAGCCTTGTGTCAGACCAATATAAGCTCTAATAAATATATACAGAATTCTGTAAGTCATTATTATCTGACTCTAGCATTAAAATTTCTGGTATTCTTAATAATTTTTCTTATTTGGAATTTCATACACTTTTCTTTGACATCTGAATTAACAACATAGTTGGCAAATAAAGTTGATTGAACAAATTTGAAGAGGTTTTTGTCAATTTTCAATTCATTTTGCCTTTTTTTAATTCTTTGTAAATATTTAGAATATGCTTTTCTCAACCCAATCAATTCAGCATAAAGAATTAGTATTTAATGTTCATGTTCATGGTAAAAATCCATTCAACACATGTTGCTCATCTTTCTTCTAAGGTCAGACAACTTCAAGGGCAGATAATCCATTTTTTTCTCCAAGAAAGAAGTAACCAAAATAACAACATTAATATTCATCTGTGTCATGTATTTTAAAAACTTAACTCATTTAATTTACAATTTTGTTATATTTTTAAAGTTGTGATATATGACAAATGAATAGAAAATGTATATCATTCTAATGTTTCACTTTTAAAGCTTTGTCAGAGATTGAGAAAACATAAAAAGCTAGAAACTTTGGGTTTTTTTTTTTTTTTCAGTTTTTGTCTAGGCCAATTCTTATTGGTCAGTCACGTATCACATACATTAAAATTGTAGATAGTTCTATATGTATGTAACTTTGTAAAGATTCTTGTATGAAAGATTTAATAAAAGTGAAACATGTTAGTGATATACATTTCCTATTTGTTTTTTGTCATATATATATATTATATACAAGACATTTTTTATGTTTATACATTC